GTGGCAGTGGAAGGTGTCAAAGCAGTTTGGAGAGAAAAACAAAGTAAAGAACAAAAAAAAACAGAAAACGATTAATCGATTATTAAATTAGTCATCGATTATTTTAATAATTGATTAGTCGTCGATTAATGGATTAATCGTGGCAGCCCTATTATCAATACAACTTGAAATAATACTTTAAAAAGGAGAAATCAAGTTACAGAATGTTAATGATTCATTTCCTTTTTTATAATTAATCACAAACCATTAAAACAGACTGTTGTCAGCTTGATCTGCTTGACAAGGACAGATGAATGAAAATCTAGGCCAGAGTTTGTCGAAGCTTTTTCAGAACAGAGTTCAGTTCAAGAGAAAACATGACCTGTAGGATCAAGAGGTCATGTGGGAATCCCATTAACAAAAAACAAAAGATTCAACAGGAATCTYATCGGTGATGTGTTTAAACCTGTAAATGGCACTTTTACGTGGTGTGTGTTGTTTGTGTGCAGGGCTCCAATGTGAAAACAGACTAYGGGCCTCTCCTTCACACTCTGGCAGAATTTGGCTGGTTGCTCACATGTGTGCTGCCCACACCCATCATCCGACACGACAGGTAGACGATATACATTGTCATGACATGGTTAAAGATAGTTTACCTGGATGTTCGCTTCTTATTGTATTTGTTGTGTGTCTGCAGTGATGGGAATCTGGCCACAAAACAAGTTGTGTTTTTGCAGAGGCCAGTCAGAGGTTCTGCARCCGGACACCTGAGAAACCAGGTGAGATGAGGAGAGGGTCGTTCCTGAGTTTAGTCACCACTCATGTGAACATTTATTATAACGCTACCTTTGGAATTTTTGACAGCAAAGTGCACATCGAGTACTTTGTCCATGTGTTTTTGTAATACAAGAAGATATTATATAAAACAGTACTTTTTTGTACTGGTCACTTTTTATATGGAAAACGTCTCATATTAACCATCATGAATCCTGGTGAGTGAGACAGAGTCTCTTTATTTGGTTTTGTAGAACAGAATTTCCTGGTCCAGTGACTAATTTCCTAATGGAGATGAAAACAGAAACACTAAAAGGATCCTATTTCCTATTAGTCACATTTCAGAATATTTGAAGTTGTGGTTCTGTGGAAAATTTAAGAACATTTAATATCTTACTTGTTGGAGTTTAATTCCCCTGAATCAACAAGCTAACAGCTAGTCTGAGTTCACCCAAGACCAAAGTGTATTGCTGCCCTCTTAAAGCAACTTTGTACTCTAAAAGCTGTGTTTTAAAGTTTGAAATGTTTGAGATTTGARCTCTTTAGGATGATGGTAATCTCCATTTGGTCCTATACTCAGACTAACAGTTAGCATTTCAGTCTGGACTTGTAGATATAGTCCAGTCAAATGTGAAGTGATTGTCAAATATACAGGGGGTAAAATAAGTATTGAACACGTCACCATTTTTCTCAGTAAATATGTTACTAGAGGTGCTAATGATATAAAATTTTCACCAGATGTTGGTAACAACCCAAGTGATCCATACATACAAAGA